GACCGGAGTTTGTCCCAACAAATGAAGAATGAAATTAAGTTTTATGTTAGAGTTTGTTTGTTAGGAGTTGTTGTTTAGTGTGTTATGTGTTAAGAGTTAAATACTGTTTTTTGGAGTTTATGTTTGTTAGGTGTTTGTGCTTAGAAGATTTTCTCATCCAAGACTATTTTGAGTGAGAATTAAGTGTTAAATGTATTTGTGATAGATTGTGAATTAATATATGTGTTTGTTTGTGTGAAAGTTAGTGTTATTTTTAGCCTCGAATTGAATTGAGTTATATGGAGAATTTTGAGAGGAAGGAGAGTTGTAGGAGATGAAAATAGTCTTAGTGCAAAGTAAGCGTGCTGGCAATTTTGCCCTATATAATATTTACGAAATTACTACATTAAAATTAGTTATATACTCAACAAGGAAAAATTTTAACATTTTTTTAGTTGATGGTAAATTTGTGCAATAGTATGTTTCCTTTATGGTTATTAATTACATAGAACAGATTTTATTATTATTATATTGTTGTATACACAAATACACATATATACCTAAACGTGGCTTTTTGTACGGAGTCTCATATGAAGGCTAACATGACTCACAAATCTTCTCAGCCCTTATCAAAAAATCAGGTAGTTTTGCTGAACTGAGCCTACCTGGCGAAATGGCTAAATCGGACTCGCATGTCAAAGTGGTTAAATTAAGCTCACCTTCCGAATTAGTTAAATTTAGCCCACATAAGTGGCTAAATTCAGCCCACCTGACGAACTGGTCGAATCGAACTCTCCTACCAAAGTGGCTAAATTAAGCTCATCTACCGAAGCTTCCTGACTTGTATCCTATGTGGGGGCGATTTAGCCTATCAGAAATGATATATTACTTGCAATGACGCAAATCCATCACTTTTTAAAAGTATAATCTTACATCTGCATCACAGACTTTTTACGAAGGCATCCTTGCTGACACAATGCAAAACAAAATATATTTTTTATTTATTCAGACTTGCCAGAGTTTTAAGCTCGATAGATCAAATCGGAGAAACTCTCTCAAGCATCACATTCCTCTATATCTTCGGTCTTTCTTTTAAAAAATAAGTTTTTAATAAAATATAAATACTAATGAATAATACAAAACCATACATTCTAAAATGATTCAACAATTACATTTTTTTTCTTATTTAAGCATATCAAGTTTCATACATGTTAGATCACCATAGTTTACATTTGCGGTCTTATAATTAGCGTGATACTATGAAATATAATTATATTTACTTAATTGCTAAATAATATGAGTTTTTATTCTTCTCCCCGTACAATCATGATGCATAGATGAATAAGCAGCGCATAAAATTTCAACACTAACCTGTAGCAGACGAAAAATTATTCCATACGAATCGGAGTCCGATCCGAACCGTAAATCGCCTGATTTACAGTCCGGATGTATTTCGGTGGGCCCCACCTAAATTTTTTTATAAAAAAAAATAATTATGATCGTATTACGGTCAGGATCGGACACCACATGCAGAGATACATACAGTGTCCGTATACAATAATTTCTCGTAGCAGAATAGTCTAAGTCTGATGAGTTTCAGTAAACTAAAACGGCTATAGAAAAGACAGTTACATAAAAAAAATAGACTTTAGTACGTCAACATATCTAAAAGTCATAAAGTCTTAAAAAACACTCACCGTGCAAGTGTCTTTTTAGCAAATAACAAATTCATGCGTGCGACTACCGACCAAATTATTTAACTATAAATTTAGAAATTACTTGTGTCATGATGAGGCATGTAACTAATATGGTTATCATTTTTTGTTTGGGGTGTTAGCATACATACAACACAATTCTATCTATTTAATATTTAAGACTTTGTTGAATTCAGATTTGTCCAAGAATCAAATTCAAGGAAGAAAACATAAATAGAAGAGAGAGTGAGAGAAGACATAGAAGAGTGAACAGTAATACATCATATTTTATTCATGAAATGATCTCTATTTATAGGACAGATGGTATAATACGCTAATATGTTAAATTTTCTTTCCCCCTACTTTAATGAGGATTGTATTGGGATATTTTTTATAATTTACATGGATAAGTTTATCGTTCAACCGCTTTTTGGCTAGATCGGCTAGGTTTATATGGCTTCAAGTTGGCAAGATTAGCTCGATCAGCTGAAATCCGCTTGGTTGGTTGCACTTTATATTGGAGTCGGCTAGTTGATATGGCCCTGATGTTAATCCTTGGCCCCTGATGGGGAGCCTTTAGGCTTCCCTAAGATGGTTAGAGATGATGTGGAACTGGATCTTCCCTCATATCTGACTTTTTCATAGTTGTTTGCTCATATGCCTCTTTGTCTTATTTATGACTGAATGATTTGGCCTCGGATCATTGGGTTGCCTTTTGATTCTACTTGTGTCTCGATAGGCTTTGGCATTGCTGGTTTTGGCTCTGACAGCTTCACTCGGGCAGATAAATGAGTCTCCTGATCTTCTGTTGGCGGACCCTCCTTCATCGTACTTTTTTTTCTAGAACGATAGATCTCATCGTTATCAATGTTGGCATATTTTTTACGTAAAGTTAAACATTCATATTTATATTTATAACACTCAAAATTTTTAACATTGCATAAAAAAAAGTTACCTAAGACCATTATTATCAAGTCAAATCTCGGATGTGAAAATTGAAGAGTTGCATTAGGCAGTCGACACTCAACGTAAAATTTGTCAAAAAATCATGACATGAATCATTCAGATCATTGAGTAAATGCTATGACATCCCTTGAAAGAGACGCGTTGTATGACCAGAATAAGGTGAAAAGCGTGCAAAGGCCCGTCACCCTGTAGTGTCAAACAAGCGAGGGTTCTCACATTACTGATGAATGTCGATAAAGAAGTTAGTCATATTAAGACAAGATCTTGAAATATATTGACTCTCACAGGTAAATTAATGAATGAAATTAGTTGATATTATGATTTGAAAAATAAATATCTCATGTATTCAAGAAACTAAATGGGTTAGAGAAAAGGCTAAGGAGATTGATAACTTAGGTATTAAACTTTAATATTCATGTAAAAGTCACACTAAAAATGATGTTAGTGTAATTATAGATAAGAGTTCGAATAATAATGTTATAAAAATTAATAGAATCTAAAAAAATAAATAAATTCGAAGATAGAATTATAGTCTTTAAGATTATCATTGATACTAAAATTTTAATGTTTTAAGTGTTTATGCTTCTCAACTAGGTTTAGATATAGGTTCTAAAAAAAATTCTGGAATGACTTAAAAGACTTAATACAAATGATACCTCTTGAAGAAATAATTTTTATTAGAGAAGATTTAAATGGATATGTCTGTAGAGTAGTAGAAGATTATAGAAATATTTATGGTGGCTACAATTTTGGAGTGATAAATATAGGTTTGAAGAAATAATTTTTATTAGAGAAGATTTAAATGGATATGTCTGTAGAGTAGTAGAAGATTATAGAAATATTCATGGTGGCTACAATTTTGGAGTGATAAATATAGGTAGAGTCATATTAGATTTATTTTAGCTTAGCGTATGATTTTGTTATTGTTAATATTTTATTTAAAGAACTAGAGGGCAATGCTATTACTTATATAAATGGATCAAATAAAACACATTAACTATTTTCTTATGAGAAGAGAACGTCGAAAATGTAAAGAATGTAAGGTCATTTCAAGTGAGGATTTAAGTAATCGACATCGATTATTAGTTCTAAATTTTAAAATGAAGAGTTATAAAATAAAAAATACTATTAACCATTGTCGTAGAATTAGATGGGTGTGCCAAAAAGAAAAAATAAATATTTTTTTATGAGTAAACATCAAGATTCAAGGTTTGAGATGTTCATGAAAAAATAAATTTTATGTGGGATAAACAAATTTTATGTGGGATAAAGTAACAAACAATATTAAACAAGTGGCAAGATGTACTTGAAGCATCAAAAGAAAAAGTTTCTATAAATAAAAATAATTGGCGGTTGAATAATAATGTGCAATAAAAGATAAAATATAAGCATGTAATAAAAATTGATTTAAATGTAAAAGATAGAGAATTGAGAAAAATATAAAATGACCCGTATAGAGTCTAAGAGAACAATCTGTGATGCTAAAAATTATGTTTTTAGTGATTTTTATAATTGATTAGATATTAAAGAGGGTGAAAAACATACGGGTGAAAAACATATGTATAAACTAGTCAAACAATGAGAATAGAAAAGTAAAGATTCAACTCAAGTAAAGTGTATGAAAGATTAAAATCAAAAAGTGTTTTTCTTAGAAAAAAATATTCAGCATAGGTGGGTGAGTTATTCTGAAGTTATTTTGATAAACTTTTATGAGTTATTTTGATAAACTTTTAATGAAGTTTCTGAAAATATGATCTACCTTAGTGATCTTAATATTATTAATGATAATAAAATGTTTCATTTTTACCGCCGCATTAGTAATAGTTTAGGAGGTTTTAAGGAAAACCAAGAGTAGAAAGCCTGTAGGACCTAATGATAAAGTGTAGAAAAATATAGGAGATTTAGAAGTTTCTTGGTTTACTAAATTCTTTAATAATATTTGGAAAACTAAAAAGATGCCTAAAGAGTAGTGGAAGAGCATTTTGGCCCCAATTTTTAAGAATAAAAGGAATGCACAAGAGTTTGCAAAATAGAGGAATTAAATTGATGTGTCATACTTTAAAATTATGTACAGGGTAATTGAACATAGGTTAAGACGTATGACAAAGATTTCCCATAATCAATTTGTATTTATGTCGGGCAGGTCTAGTATGGAAGCTATACATTTATTGACAGGTTTGATAGAGAAGTTTAGAGAGAATGAGGATCTACATGTGGTGTTTATTTATTTAGAAAAAGCTTACGATGAAGCTCCAAGGGATATACTTTTTTTAGAAAAAACTAAGTGTTGCCATGCAAGTAAATTTCCCTTTTAAAAAAAAATTATGTAAACTGTTGCATCATTCACAGCACAAAACAAGATAGCTTGGAATATCAGAATTGCTATATACACTACAACAGTAAATTCGATGTTAATGATACACATACTATACATTAAACCTACAGCAGACCAGGCATTATAATAATATGTGACACAGAAGATCCAATAGATATGTATTCTAAGATGCAACCCCATAAATCAAATTCTTACATGGAGAAGCGCATGGATCAGGTTTCATCAGGCTTTGGCTCAAGTACCACAGGAAATTTCTCTTTGTGATCACCCCTCAATACTTCAACAATCACCTGATAATCAACCAAATTTACCAAAAAAAAAAAAAAAAAAAATGTTAAAAGCTCAAGCAGAGCTGGGGTGATTCCTCAACAAGACAGACAAACTAGAACATAATTTGGAAGATTTATATACGTACCACTCATTCTTATGATTTACATATCTATCACCTAAACTTCAATTTATATGTATCTATGCCACCTTATGTATGTGTGAAAATATGTATTTCACTTTTTTAGAAGTTAAAATAGAAAAAATTGAGTGGTACAAATGTAAAAAAACAAGATTTAGATGTTAGATATGTAAAAACATAAGAATTAGTGGTATGTAAATGCACCAAGCTATTTTTACCGTTTCGCCAACTTTACACTGGTCCAAAATTCTGTACAAGTCGCTACCATTTGCAACCTTCTTGCCATTAACAGAAGTAATGATATCTCCGAGAACAAGGCGGCCGAACTCATCTCGCTTTGTTGGTCGAAGGCCCTGCAAATTGTCAAGATACAAGCCAAAATGATCCAAAGTTCTAAGAAAAGCAAATGTCAAATTAGTCTCCTAACTTTTCGCAACGGGCAAATTTAGTCCCAGGTTTATAAAAATGTCAATTTAATTCCCATACCCTTTTAATATGTGATGAAATAATCCCTAAGGAGAACTATTTCAGCTCTAACTTAAAAAATTTCAAGAACTGATTTGGCATTTTTATAGACTCTGGGAACAAAATGACCCCATGTAAATAGTGGGACTATTTTGACACAACTCATTTTGAGAATTTAAGTCTGATATTATTAGGAAAAGTAAGAGTTTTGTTCATAAACCACAGCTGCCATGAAACGGAAAATGATATGTTTATTATGAAGCAGACTAAATATGCTCATTTCCACATATCTTAAAGTCTTAGTTAGATATCCTAAATATATTCTAAGGTTGACTAGTTATACCGCCTTGCCGGCAGGACCGCTAGGAGGTGCATCAAGAACAAGCACACCGCTGACGCCAAGCTGCTCAACAGACTGATCTGGAGCAAATTTGATACCTAAAATAGGTCTTGTAACTTTACCAAATTTCACAAGCTGGTCAACAATGCCACCCACCTAAGAAAGAAGAGGCAAAATGGTATGAATTAGGACTTGAATGTATAGTAGAAGCATGTGAAATTAATTTTTTGAATTATAATTGAGAATGATGGCACACCGTGTCGACCGGAATAGAAAACCCAACACCTGAGGAAGCTCCTGAGGGAGAATAAATAGCTGTATTTATGCCTATCAAATTTCCAGAGCTATCAAGCAACGGTCCCCCGCTGTTGCCAGGGTTAATGGCGGCATCTGTCTGGATGACATCTTGTATAGGCCTCCCAGTAGCAGCAGAACTGATTTCTCTCCTCAGTCCACTGGAGAGATGTGAGCAGAAAAGGATTGGTGAAAATGGTTCTAAATGGTTGTGACTCAGAGATAGATAAATAGAGAGAGAGAGAGAGAGACAGAGAGAATTAGATGCCAACCAAATCTTCCATATTCACAAATCTAATATTCAAGAAAAAAATCTAGAAAATGATGTATTTGCATGTATCACGATTAAATCGCTGAGAATTTAAGGAAAACAAAAGGCATTAGTTGTAGTTTTGTTGTACTCTTTAGAGATTTGGGTGGTATTACTAAAAATAATAGTTGGTTGTTAGGTCTTGTTAATATATGAGAATTGAGCATTTCACAAAAAAATGAAATAAATGGTGATATAAGTCTGGAATTTTACGTTTATAGTTTGAGTGAAGGTTAGAAAAAGAGGATTTGACAAACAAATCATCCCTGTGTTCTCATAATTTGTGGATTCTGCTGCAGTAATTTTATTGAAAAGGGAGCATGCTTAGAAAAAAGCATTTTAGGGAAGAAGGGAGACAACCTGATTACACCTGTAGTAAGAGTGTGATCGAGTCCAAACTGCAAAAAAATAAGTAAAAGTACATATTAACCAATAATACAAAACTATATTGGATTTAAAATCCACTGCTTAATTTAAGAGAAACTGCCTCTACATTCTAAGTTTTCTATGGATTACATATACTACAGCAAATATTATGAAGATAGGGTTCCGGTTAGCTTCTAAACTCACAGGATTTCCAATGGCATAAACTTTCTGGCCCACTAACAGATCAGCAGAGACACCCACTGGAATGGGTCTAAGCTTCGCCTTTGGTGCTTCAATGCGCAAAACTGCAACATCCTTATCTTGGTCAAATCCAACAACTTTTGCATCATATGTTGATTGATCAGCAAGGGTGACCCTGTAAATAACAAGATAATCAAGGTTCATGGCATAGAATAGTGGGAAGTTTGGATAACATTTAGGGAAATTTTACGTACGTATCACAATTCTTATGCATTTACACATCTCACACCTGAAAATTGATATTTATATACATAAAACTTTGGCGTTTTAAACATATGCATGAAAAAGGTGTATTTCTCTTTTGAGAAGGGGTGATAGTCTTATTTTTATGTGATATTAAACATTTAAATAATGTGTGTAAATATAAAAAATTTTGGTGGGAGACGTAAAATAGATAAAGAATTTTGTGTTATGTATCTCAATGCCCCCAACATTTATAGTTAAAATGCACATGTTGAATGGAATCTATCAATATAAACTTCAAGCACTAAAGAATTATCAAACACATTAGAAAGGGTGTAAATGTTTAGGAGATATAAGAATTTCTTGATTTTTTAAACTTTATAATATTATTTTAAAAACTAAAAAGATGTATGGTGAGTGGAGAAAATGTCTATTGGTTCCTATTTTTACAAATAAAGGGGATGCACAAGAGTGTGTAAATAACAGAGGAATTAAACATGGGTTAGATTCATGAGGGACCGGTCCATTATGGGACCGATGTGATAGAATAACTTCTCAAAATCAGTTTAGATTCATGTCGAGCAAGTTTACAATGGAAGACATACATTTATTGAGATGTTTGATGGAGAAGTATAGAGAAAGTAAGGAGAATCTATGATGCGGGGCTTTCCCCCTTCCCGCTATGGACGCTGGTGCTAGATTTTCCCATGTAGAGACAAGAAACGGGCCAGCTGACTGAACCGACTGGCACGAGGGACCAGTCCAGGGGCCCAGTCATTGCCGCCAATCTCTTTACCCTTCATCCTTTTCAGTGATTTCCTTAAGTGAGCTTTCCAGTCCAGGGGCCCAGTCCAAGCTTCCAAAGTACCAAGCGACTTCATACGACCCGGGTGACCTTTCCTTTCACATCTCCCGTCCCGTCACACCTTGGCTCAATCGAGCGGCATATTGGGAAGGGTGGCATTGCCGCCAATCTCTTTACCCTCCATCCTTTTCAGTGATTTCCTTAAGTGAGCTTTCCTTTTCTGTTTTTCCCTTGTGATAGTCATTAAATTACTATTTTTTGGATTTAGGGTTTAGTTCTTGTTGTGTATTGTTTTCAGATTCATGTGTGGAGTCATTTTTTCCTTTGTGGATCGTATCTGAGGAGCTGGTGATGCTACAACTTACTCTGAGGCGGTGATTGTATCTTCCCTTTTATCTTCCCTAAACCTTCCCTTCCCTTCCCCCTTACTTGCTGACCATCTTGACTCCTCCCCAACCCACTTTGTAGCCCCTCCAAACCAACTATCCAGCCCCGCAGCCCGCTGTTTTGTAGCCAAACCTGTCGCCCAACACTCTATCTTTGTTGTCGTCACCACTGCTAGCCATCCCGATCCGCCTAGCCAACCCTTACCGACCTTGGGATGCACTCTCGAGGTATTTGTTGTGTCTTTTTATGTATTGGTGTTATTATTTTTAGTTTGTGTGTGTTGCAGCCCTATTTCACAATTAATAAAAGTGAATCTTTTGTGATTTGGGCTTTCTCTTCCGGTCTCAATCAGAATGATTTTTGTTGATTTAGAAAAAACTTAAGATAAAATTTCAAAATAAGTATTTTATAGAGTTCTACTAAGGAAAGGTGTCGATATTGCTTATATTCAAATCATTAAAAATATGTATTCTAAATTTGTCATTTGTGCTCGAACACATGGAGGCCCAAGTATTTTCCTCTTTTAAGTTGAATTATAATCAGGGATTGGTCTTAAGCTCATATCTTTTTGCTTTAGTTATGGATTGTTCTTGCTGGACATTTACAGGACGATGTACCTTGGCGTATGCTTTTCGCTGATGTATCCTTTTTGTTTGAGTAGATCTAAACTGAATACATGGAATGTAATTTTAGTTGTTGTAGATCTAATTGCGAGGTTGTAACAATTGGTGATCAAGTCATTAAAAGAAGTAAACATTTCACATGTCACGGCCCAACCCGATACAACCCGTTATATCGAGGCGGGTTGCCTCATGTCGAGATTGCAAAGTTAAATTATTGCCGAAAATCTACTTGAAAAAGAATCTTATTTACCTTTTTTTTTTTTAAATTCCATAAACACACTTATCATCAAAATATTATAAGACAAAAATATTCAAAATCCATCCAAAGCATTTCACAACTATATAACAAAAAGAAACATATATAATAATCACGATATTATCATTATATCATCATAAAACACAACATCATGACTGTGAAAAATATAGACGGTAATAACATCCCCAATATCAAGTTCTTTAAAGTAGTCAAAAGTCTTTACTCAATCTGAATATTATTCTTTACTGAAACAACACATACAAATAAAATAAATGCGAGTAATCACAACTCGGTAGGCTACTCAAAATATATTGTAATTTTTAATACAAAAAAATACATTTTTACTCGAAATAAACAAATCAAACATGACAAAGCATACTGTGTCTCACATATCATAGTGACACTACAAGAATATAAATGTCGTGTAGCAGTATAAAGATGATATCAAAATACAATTAAATTACATGAAATAAAAAAAAATATTTCTTCCTTCAAATTCTTTTATAATTTTTTTTTCGTCCCTTATACCTTCACTTTCACATATGCCTTCACTTATTTGTAACTCATGCCCCTTATAACTCAACTATTATTTATACTTCTACTTGTTCACATCTGTTTAAGTGCATCAAACGCACAAAGAAAAAAAAAAAAAAAAAATAAATAAATATATATATATATATATATAAACACACACACACACACACACAAACTTTTATAACTCCACTTGATCGTACATAACATACAGTCGTCCAACCACTGTCAATTGCACTACTCTTATTTTTCTTATTTTTTCACATATTTGTGTGTAGAAGCAAACAAATGTTCAATTTGACTTAAGCAAATATCACAATATACTTCAGAAACCAGTACCAACCGGTAGATATAATTAACAGTGAAATTTATCGAGGAAATTTATATGCCCAAAATAGAAATCACAATTTACAGAATTATTTATATGCAAAGTCCAAGATAATGTTTCAAGGCTTTTCTTGTTCTACAACAAATATTATTAGGTTTAATATCGCTAAAATACATAAAATATTGCACAACACAAAATTTACCCAACTTAATAAATTTTGCTACTATTTTGTGTCGAACCTTTCAGATATATCATGCACATTTTTCTTGGCATGGCGGGTTTCAAATATTTCAGGACGGAGTGACTCACAACACCCGTCAAGCATGCCTTTCTTTGCATAGTTGTTAGGCTCAATTTCCTAAAGTAAACCCCATCACAAGGATGATCCAAGGAAGCTGTCGAAATTCCACCCGAATAACTAAATTAAACTTGTAATTAAAATATAGCTTCCAAATCATAAATTAATGATAAAATTGAGAACTAAATTATTATATGAATTATTAAATAAGAAATGGAAGGAATTAAATAAAAATAAAACTTGAAAAAATATTTACAGACGACTCGATGACTAATCAACAAGTTCAAATAAAACATGAGATGAATACACTAGCTCACTATAAATGGTAATGAGGCATTTTATTGACTAATCAAAATGTGTAGAATCATACACTATAATTATAGTGGTTCATTTGGGCACTCAAGTGAGACCTAAGTGTGAGAGAGATGTATAACTTCGAATATACACTCAAAATAAAAAATATTGTATTTGTCACTGAATCTGCAATCTCAAATGCACAAACAGACAGGAATATTCCTTAAGGAATTCAGGCTAAAAATTTGCATATGCTTCACGAGACACTTTTCGACTTAAACAAGTAGCCCTAAAAAATGTGCAAATAACTTTGAAAAAAACATACAAATTTTATAAAATATGCTCAAGTTTAAAACTTAAACTAACCCGCATGTGCTGCGACTTGTTTGCTAAATGCTTAAGTGTAGGGTCTGAAAATGTTGTCATCTAGCTTAAAATCATATTCAAAATTTTCGCATGTGCTCCAACCATCATATTGAATGCTCGATCATGTGGTATGAGATTATTGTGCGGGCTTAAATTGAATTAAATTTTAAAATGACCCACTTTAAAAAATGTGCATGTTATAAAAAAAAATGGCAACCACTTGTTCTACATAGCTTCTTTCAAGTTTCTTAATCTTAAATGTTTGAGAATGTTGTGCAAGTCAATTGCATGCTTAAGCTAAAATACAATTCGCCTAAAAAAGTGTGCATGCACTTTAAAGCTTCATAAAAAAGTACTTATTTTTATAAATATCAAGGCAAAACTATAAAATTACACACTCTTAATCTAGCCACCTTACTTATAGGGCAAGATTGTAAGTCGTATTTTTGGCCAGTCTGATCCTCCTCACAACGATTAAAGTTGGCCAGGTTGAGCCTCTTTCACTTAACCCCTTCTCACTAAGAGTGGAGTTGACATGATTGCCAGTTAGTTATGTTCGAATTGCAAGATCCAATTAAGTATCAAATATCAATATTAAAAGAATTTCAAATATTATCTCGATGAAGGCAGGGTTCATATAATATTTCAACTAGAGGGTTTTACTTGTCAAATTAAGCTCAAAAGAACATCTAAACAAACATAATCGATTTAGGTTATGAATTGATCCTCTGTAAAAAGGGAAAAGTCGATAAGGTTCAAAATTACCTTAAATCATGGATGACGGGCATACTCATTACACAAATCAACTAGAAAGGTTCATCTTAAAATTAAAAAATTTTCAAATCATAAAAATTTTAAAATATTTAAATAAAATTAAGATCAATAAAAGCTAAAGAGTAAAAATTTATCCACCCCCATCCCCCACCAGCATTTATCAGGATAGATAAATTTATGACCAAAAAAATAATATCATATTAAGTATACTACTAAATTCAAGATCGAAATGACACTTTGTGGATAGGAACGTGCTCCAAGTTCTCTGTCTGCATGGCTTTACTAGTAGGCTCCACAAAAAAAATTGTTACGACTAGAGTCCTCTGATAGGATGGGTTTGACCAATAATCTTCATCAAGTGGTTTGCCAGTAGACTACTGTAGAACGATCAAGGCAGCAGCTCGTATGTTCTCCAATGATATTTTGCCCCATGAATCATAGGACATGTTCATAAGCATATAAAGCCCTTTGTATGATAAGGTCAACTTAAATTAGTCACCTTAGAAAAATATTCACCCCAGGTGACAAGGTTCCTTTGGACGAAACAACCATAGTTGTTAAGAAGAATCCTCCTGCCAGATTTCGTCAACTAACTAAATAAGGGACCATGGCAAACCAGAATGACGCAACCAAGGGATATTGATAAAATGTTGTCATCATTTCCCTCACCAAACACTCTTAAGCTCACAGTGATAATTTCATAAACTTTAAATCTTAAGTTTGTTGCTACTACTCGATAAGTCTGAACACTTAGTGCCTAATGAATAGCCTTAATCAAAAGTGTTATCCTGTCATCAGAAGGGATAATTAACCATAGTGGTTTGCGCTTATAAGAAGCCTTGAATCCCATATTTTAAAATCCTCATAAAATGAGAGTGAAATCTTTGGATAGTGTCTTATCAACCATCTCATCTGCTATATGAAAATTTAACCGAAAACCCTACTGTAAACTCCCTCATTTTTATTTTCATTTTCTTTCTTTTTGAGGGAGGTCGGGATTGTTCAAAATTTCAAAGCCCAAAAAGTAGAAAATTAAGTAAAGTGTTGCAAATATGAGAATGCTCGGTTGGATGAGTAGCTTTACACCTAGAGACAAAATGTGAAACGAATATATCCATTGCAGAATTGGAGTAGCTCTAGCGACAGATAAGATCAGAGAGACACCTTAATCACATTAAACGTCGATCATCTAATTTCCCTATTAGGAGAGTAGATGTTTTAAATTTGACTAATGTTTAAATCGGTAGAAATAGAACTGAAAAGACCTAGGCATGTTATATAAAAAAGAATCTTAATTTAATAAAATTAAATGAAAATGACACTCAATAGGACACAATAGAGAAAAAGAATTCATGTAGCTTATTTCTCGCTATGCAAAAGGATCTCCCAGCAACGTGCAAGAATCAAAAAAGAATTTTATGGTGTGATCTTATATTCTAATTTTCAAACTTTTACCCAATATATCAAATTATTTTCATTTTTTTCTCTATATATTTCTATTTTCTTTGTCAATTTGGTGTCCAAGTAAGATTTCTTGTTTCGATTGAAGTTATTTTGTGCTGAAAACCATTCTTTGTGCTTCATTTTATGTCACCTTGTTGTTGGTTTTTTTAATAAAATATCAAACCTTTCTCTTTTTTTTTAATGGTCTAAACTTACCATTGGGTATGAAGCTTCCTAAAAGTTGTAGTGCATTAGGGTTCATTTGATGCTCAAAAAAATATCAGCATTGGTATTTTTTTTTAATTTTCAGCATATTAATATTTTAAGTAGCTGTAGTATTTTAATCATATCTCAATTGATACAAGCTCAATTGTTATGATCTTTAAGCTTATTGTTGCCCTATCTCATCGTCTGTATTTTTTTATGAAAATGATTTTTTAGATTCAAATTAAAAACCCTAAGATACCACACGAAATTGAGACATATCAATTCTCACCCTTCACCTAACCTACCATATTCTAACTTTCAAAAAATTGGTAAACCTAGCCCAAATAAAACCTTAGACCTCCAAATATAGGACAGTTAAGGATATGATATTTTCAATGTAACCTAGAATGAGATGCACCATGGAAAAAGATCATAAGTTACAAGTTACTAACTCATGATAGTAGCCAAAGTTCAACAGTTTAATCCAAAATAATAATAATAATAAACATGCTTATTTCATTCCAAATGGCAATAATAGTTGGCCAAATTTTAAATTCCACAAGAAAAATATAGAAAGAAACATATAATTTCAGTAATGATCCAACTTAAAACTTCAAAAGAAATCTAAAATACAAGGCATTTGACAAAATTTTAGTCGCGTATAAAAAATCAATGACTAATCATATTAAAACATGAAAACGAGAAATTAGACTAAGGAAGAGCAAGGCCACCCGCTAGTGTAAACAAGCCAGGCCCTCAAAACTAGTTGTCAGCACCCATAAAGCACATGAAGAAATCCACATCCAAAAAGCATACACAAAAGAATAGGGAAAAATTAAAATATTATTTTAATACTCAATCTCCAAAGAATTTTACAATCAAATATGTTTTTATTTAAAGCCTACAAAGAAGTTATAAAAATCAATCAAGATCCATTCAAATACATTAAGTTATAATTCATCATTGATAAATTTCAACTTTATGTTTAGATAACTTGAATCTCCACTTATTTAATGGTCAAATGTCAAAGAAATGGGCTACCTTTATAATGGTCATGTATTAAGCAGCTGACATGCAAAAAAAGATTTTGCTTACAATTGCAAATTTCAAAAATATGAGTGGCAGAGTTTCACAGTAGCCTTACTAAGGCCGGGTATGGAACATTTACATTGAAAGTTGACATCAAAGGCCCAGTTAATGCTGAAAATAAGAAGTTCCACTAACCTGAGATCAGAAGCTCCCCTAATTACATGATAGTTGGTGACAATGTGCCCCTCCTTGTCCCAAACAAATCCTGAGCCCGAACCCTGTGGCACTTCTAACACATCAAGTGTGAATGCGTCCTGCCTATCAAACAGTAGAGAAGAAAGAATAACAGAATTAAAAAATAGAGAAACTGAAAACACAGAGATGGAAGAGGAAAGTAAATGCAATTGAGACACCCAAATAATCTTTTCATTCATTAATCAATGTTAAGGGAGTTCTATTTATAAACATTACAAGTGGCAAACTTGTAATTACAGGAAAGGGTACACAAGTCATTTGACTAAGCAATGCCTTCAATATAAAAACTAATGTATCGCAGCACTTGAACACAATTCTACGACCTAGGGAGCGACACTAAGGTAGGGAGCTCTGGAGGAGATGGAGGAGACGCTGATAGCTAGAGCAGTGGAAAGTATGTGATATAAGAGAGAGCAGCTATCTAATCTTTGGGTTCTCCAGATAAGTCCTATTACCCCCTTTCAAGTTGAGTATCTGATGGTCGGATGGTCAACCTGCTGGTAAGATCGTGATGTCTTTTTGTTGTAAAAGCTTTAGTAGTGAAATATTTGTTGATTGATCGTCAGTCATGATGTGTTTGAGAACTATGTACTTTGAGTTTGATGCGGTCGCTTATAGAATGATAATCCACCTCAATATGTTTTGTTCACGCGTGAAAAACATGATTATGAGAAAGAGCGATGGCTGATGTGTTGTCATTGTAGAGCATAGTTGAAGTAGTAGGTGTGCTGGTAAGTTCGTGAAGCAACCTTCGGAGACAAAATCTTTGTAGTGGCAATTGCAAGAGCCCAATATTCGGCTTTTGTAGAAGATCTTGCGATAGTGGTTGGTTTTTTGCCGACCATGAAATTAAATTGAAACCAAGATAAATGCAAAAATTTGTGGTTGATTTTCTATCATTTTTATCACTAGCTCAATCGCCATCTACATTAGCGGATAAATAAAGTGATCCAATTGTAATTAGAATGCCAATATGGTGAGTGTCTTTAAGATATCTTAATAGTCGAATCGTTTGAGAAGTTGATAATGTAGTGTAGTTGGATTATGCATATATTAACTTAATAAATTAACAGTGTGATGTATCTGATCGAGTAACAGTAAGATATTGTTAAGGAACAAATGAGATGCCGACAATATTACGGATTAAAAATAGGTGAAGACAGAAGAGTGTTTTCACTAAAGTAGTAAGCGTCCTAAAAGATGTTTAGATTGATGCATATTTGCCTTGGTAAAAAGGTCAGAGAGATAATTTGCTTGATATAGAAAATAGCCAGTAGCTCCTATTTTTTATTTGCAAACCGACGAAATAAAGGAGTGACCAAGTTGTTTTAAATTAAAGTGGTTATCTAGTATGTGAATTAAACTATTTATTATATTTGTAGAGTTTCCAATAATGAGAATATTATCAACATATCTAAATAAATAAATACAAGTATTACTGTGATGATAGATGAGTAATGAATGGTCAAAAATACTCGGTTAAAATTTTTGTATATATAAAAGTTACAAAAAGTTGAATATCATTGTTTCGGTACTTACTTGATATCATATATTATTTTATTTAACTTACATGCATACTGCAGATAATTGTTATTTATGAAACAAGGAGGTTGAGACATATTATATTATATCATCTAGTATGTCGTGTAAAAGAAGCATTAGACATACAATTGTTGCATGTCTCAATGTTCAGTGGTGGTTAATGCATACGAATAGTAGAGAATTTGGCAACGGGATTAAAATTTTTCTGATGGTCAATACATTATTGTAGTTTGAAGCATTGAGCAAACAACCGAGTTTTGTAACAAGTAATAGATCTATTGATATGTTGTTTGATTTGAAAGACCATTTGCAACTTAAAATATTTTGTTGAAGAGATGATGACATAAGAGTTTATGTCCATTGTTATTGAAGAGTCATGAATTCATCTGACATTGTCTTTCTCTAATGTGAATGTTGAATTGCTCGTTTGAATGTGCTATGTAAGATGATGTGTGATATTAAGATGATGTGTGATATTAAAGTAAAAAAAAAAAATTCAGGGTTTTATTTTTTTTGTTGGTGTGCATGTAATCATATGATAAGTTTTAGTGAGTGGTTGTGGCAAAGAAGTACAAGAGAAAGGCGTGACAGGTGGAACAGAAGAGGGAGATGTATTATTGGTTGTGTGGTGGGGTGCTAGCAAGAGACCAGTAGGGTCAGATTGTCTAGAGTGTTTGTGGTGGATTAGTGTGATGAGGAAGTGGGGACTAAAGTGTTTATGATTGAGACTGGTATTAGAAGAGAAGCTGGAGAAGAGGAGTTAGTTGGTGTAGTAGGTAAAGACGGTCAGGTTTCTTTAAAAGGAAAAGATAGTTCATTAGAAGTAACGTGTTGAAAAATAATAATGCAATTTTGATGAATATCATAACACCAATATCATTTGTGTTATTAATTGTAGCCCAAAAATATACAAAGTGATGTTTTGGGACTAAATTTATGATGCATATATGGTAGTTTTCATGGGAAACATGCACAACCAAAGGTCTTCAGATTTTGATAATCAAGAGAGATTTTAAATTTTAATAGAGATTTGTTGTATGTTGTATAGAAAGATTATCTATTAATGAGATAAACAATTTTATGCACAGTTGTCATTCAAAATTTGAGTAGTAAGGAAGTTGTGTTCAGAAGGGTTCTCACAGTTCTATAATGTTGAGATTTTTTATTCCCGTCATCTCATTTTGTTCTGTGGAGTAAAGGTAGCTAAATTGGTGTTGAATGTCATGATTTTACAACTATATTTAAAGTTGAATAGATTTGAATTCATCCCCTCCATCAAATCTTAAATATTTAATATGTTTATTATGTTGATTTACAAATTATTTATGTAAGGTAATAAAGTAAAGTGACACTTCAGATTTAGAATATAAAGAAAAACACTAACAAAAAAAATAGTAAATATCAATAAAAATAATATAATATTTGCAACCATCGAGAGATGAAAGGAGGCCCCAAAGATCAGAGTATATCATTTTCAATAATGCATGTTTATTAGTACTAATAGGAAAAGATAGTTTATGGTTTTTATTTTGATAACATTCATGTCATGCTAAACTATTTTTGTGTATTTATCGGTGAGGATATTTTCTTACAATGAGATGAATAACTTTAGAGTGTGGATAACCAAGTCGGTTATGCCAAGTAATGGGATTGACGGTGGTCATAATCACCATAAAGGGATATAATCCTTTATTAATTTGAACACTGAGAATTGATTTTTTTGTGTTGTGATCCTATATAATAAACCCATTAGCATAAAAATAATAGAATAATTATTGACTTGAAGAAGTTTAGAAATTGAAATTAAATTGTGAGAGATACTGGGAACTCTAAATATTGATGAGAAAGTAGACACAATCTGGTGTAGAAAGGAGATCATTTCTTATGTGTGAAATTTCTATTGTCTGCCCATTTCCTACCATAGTCAGATCTATTGTATGGGTGGAATGTTGTATGTTTTCGATATATGGTGTTAAATGTCTTGTAACGCCTGCTTCAAAGCAAAGTCTTGATTTTTTGGAGTTTTTGTGGTATTAAGAGCAATATGTCACGGACTAACTTTCCTCAAGTTATCCGTGCGGCTTTAGCGCTCTTTCTTAGCACTAAATCAGCCTAACCTTCCCAACTAACAACTCAAAAGCACTCTCTTGAAAGTAGAATAGGAAGAAGAGTTAGAGAAGATAAAGCTTCACTAATAAGGAGAGATTACAAAGCTTGAAAGCTTGAAACCTTGGATGCCTTAGAATGAGGGGAGGGGACACTTATTTATATCTCCCTCCATGGCTTTGGCTTTACATATTGCCAATGTGGGACTATTCTCCAAGGGGAGCTTTACAATATAATATTCTAGCTTCTAGATAGTTCTACACTATCTTTATGTACATCTATACTCTAGATTCTTCTAGGTTGTTCATTAGGCCTCCATCTTCTAGAATACTCCATCGTGTCGTAATATTGGCGAGGCGTGACAAACGCCTGCTTCAAAGCAAAGTCTTGATTTTTTGGAGTTATTGTGGTATTAAGAGCAATAACGCCTGCTTCAAAGCAAAGTCTTGATTTTTTGGAATTATTGTGGTATTAAGAGCAATAGCTTGAGTATTGCGAGATGGTTTATATTGTAAATTGGTCCTATGCAATACTGAGCTGTAGAAAGTTCTTTCTTATAGGATATCTGGCATAAAATGATATATCCATTTGGTTGAGAGTTATTGTTGGAGAAGACGGTGTTTTGTGGATTCTTGGTAGAGAATTTGAGTTTCAAATAGGAACTTTTGGTTTTGTAAGTAAGCAAGACTATTGTTTGGTAAAATTGATTTCCTTACTATGAAGTAAGAAGCAAAAATCTTCCAAGGCTATAGGGGTTAATTGTTTTCTTATAGTTGTTTTAAAACGCTGAAAACACGAGGAAGGATCATTTAAAATGTATAGAATAATGAATTAATTATTCATTTTTTATTCTGCAGCTTCAATATTGTCAACAATATTCTTGATGCTTGTAAGATAATGAGTCATGGTCTGAGTTCCCCGTGTTGATATTGTGAAGTTCATTTTTGAATTGTGTGTTTCTTGAATGCTTTGCTGATAGGAACATTTTTTTCTAAGATAATCCAAATATCTGCAATGTTGGTTAAGTGAAAAACATATGGTATACAAAAAGGTGAAATAATTAAAAAAAAATGGTTGCGGCCAAATTTCGATCAACAAGTTTCCAGATGGCATAATCTGGATTTTTATTTTGTATTCTTGTGAGATCTTGTTATAATCTTGGGAGAGGTATAAAAAAGAATCAAACTCATTAGCAAGAAAGAGTTTCAGAATTTGTACCTTTCAAATAATATAATTTTCAAATATCAGTAGTGTATTTGTCACATTTTTTTATGTGTTGCATCAAGAATTTCAATATTACAGGAATGTGAGTTACTTTCATCTAGTTGAGATATTTCTTATAAAGTTGAATGAGGTGAGGAGAGGTGGAAGATGATGAATTCATGGATCTTTTGATGTCGTGAGACTTACAACAT